TGTGTGTGTGTGTGTGTGTGTGTGAGATTGCCATTTCTCAATACTTAATCTGATCACCTAAAATTGGTGTTTCCTGGGCCAATCTCCATAATAAGTGTAGGCAGATTTTTCTGTTCCTCCAGATCCTAAATTATTACACAAGGACTTCTTATTAATTGTGTAAGCTCAGCTGATAGCGTAAGCTTGTTACTAACTAGCTTTTACAGCTTAAATTAACCCATTTTTTTCATCTATTTGCTGCCCCAAGGCTTGTTTACATCATCTACTTTCACCCTATCTTGCTTGCTCTGTATCTCATGGCATCTCTTCTTCCCAGCACCCTGTCTGCCTGAACATCCTGCCTAGTTATTGGCTGGCCAGCTTTTTATTGAACCAATCACAGTGACTAATCTTTACACAATGTAATCAAATATCTCACAACAACTGTGGGCTTGGATAATCTTTTTTCTGCACAACGATGTGTGAGACTCTGAGTTTTAGGATGGCAGAAAATTTTCAAATGATATTTTAAATAAAACTGCAACAAGAGTTAACATAGGTTCATACTTATTCCTGACCTGACAAACCTCTTAGAGTTTGCAAAATTAAAAGAAAACCTAAAGAAACTTTGCAGATTTCCTTGCTTTTGGTTATTTGCTTGAACTACCAATAATACAGATCACATAACTAAGCAAATATAGAAAGATATATGAATGATAGACAGATAGATAGATGATAGATGGATAGATAGATAGATGAATGATAGTCATTCTACATAACTCTGGTCGTCTTGGGACTTACTATATAGAACAGGCTGGCTTCACCCTCACAAACTCTGCTTCCTGAGTGCTAAGATTAAAGGCATGCAATACCATGCCCAGCCTAATCAATGCATTTTGTTATAATCTCCATTGTATAGTTAGTTCACAGTGACAGTGGTTGCTCAACTGTTTTTCCATCTATGGAGGGCATCTATGTCTGTCTTAAACCCGAAGAGTCTCCAAAGAGATGCCTCAAACAATAAAAGCAGTAACTACACAAGCTTGATTGTAGTGTTATGTTTTACTCTTTGGGCTTTTGGGGGGGGGTGTTGTTCCAAATAAATCACACACAGAGTCTTATTATTAAATATGAATGCCTGGCCTTAGCTTGGCTTGTTTCTAGAAAGCTTTTCTCATTTTAAATTATCCCAACTACATTTTGCCTCTGAAATATCTTGCCCTATCTATCACAACACACACACACACACACACAATTTTCATACAATGTATTCCTAGCAGCCTGGAAGGAATTCTATTCCCTCAGGCACTGGGTCTGCTGCTGCTGCTAAAGAGAGCTTTAACTAAATCTCAATCATTCTATTTATAAATAAGACTTGAAATTCAAAGGCTAGAGTGAAAACCTGCTAGCTCAAAGAGGTTGAATAGCAACTAGATAACCCTTCCTTGCTGGTGTCTCCAAAGAAAGGGTTCTTTTTGCCAAAACAAAACAAAAACAAAACAAAACAAAACAAAACAAAAAAAAAAAAAAACACTCCCACTACAAATCCCATCCTACTACTTCCAGTGTATCTCTCCATATATTCCAGATGCCTTCTGATGCTCTACAGTTACTTTCTGTCAATGAATTGCTAACTCAACCTCCTGACAAGGTTAATTTTATTTAATTAAAGCAAATGCAAGCTTTGGGTTCACAGTGTGACTAAATATCCCCAACAATGCCTTACAGCTGGATCTTATGGAGCCATTTTCTCAATTGAGGTTCTTTCCTTTCAGATAGATCTGCCTTGTGTCAAGTTGTTATAAGACTTTTTGGGACATCTTGTGTCTCAGGAATCTTGTTTATCAGATACATGTTTCCCCATTGCTTCCTAAAGGGCCATCAGCCACAGGCTACAGGATATCTACTGCCCATAACCTGGCTTGATGGGGGCAGGCAGAGATTCCCCCCCAGCAGGCTCGGCTCAGGGACCCTGAACTAACCAAGACAGGAAAAATCTCCTGAGAGGAGGGATCTGCCCTCAAACTTTAAGGAACCCTATAAAACCCATTTGCTTCCCCTGTCAAGCTGCTGTTCTTCACACTCGTGAGATAGCCCAGCAGTTTGTTCCCCAATAAACTTTTATCTACCCATGGTGGTCTTGTTCAGTGAGTTCACTACACTCCCTATGACACTCTTGTTGGGTGGCTCACAACAACCTGTAACTCCAGATCCGTGGGATCTGTGATGGTTTGAATGAGAATGGCTCCCCATAGGTTCATATATTTGAATGCTTGGTCACCAGGTAGTGGCACTATTTGAAAGTATTAGGAAGTGTGGTCTTGTTGGAGTTAGTATGTCACTGGGAGGTGGGCTTTAAGGTTTCAAAAAAGCCCATTCCAAGGCCAATCCCTGTCTTCCTGCTGCCTGCAGATCCAGATGTAGAACTCTCAGCTACCATGTCTGCCTGTGTGTTGCCATGCTCCCTGCTATGATGATAATGGACTGAGCATCTGAATCTGTAAGCAAGCCCCAGTTAAATGCTTTCTTTTGTAACAGAGACTCTGACAACCTGTTCTGGCCTTCCAAGGCACGTGGAGTCACATGCACAGACTCCACACAGACACGGAAACATACTTAAAATTAATAAATAGCAAAAAAGGTTTAACTGGGTGTAGATCTCTCTGATTTTGGATAACTTAGTCTATTAGGCTTTGATGACTGTTCTTGGTTGTCAATTTGACTACACCTAGAATAAACAAAACGAAACAAAACAAACAAACAAAACTGGGTACACCTGTAGGGGATTTTTTTTGTTTGTTTTTCAAGACAGCGTTTCTCTGTATTGCTTTGGATCCTGTCCTAGAACAGGCTCTTTAGACCAGGCTGGCTGGCCTCTAACTCAAATCATCTGAAGTGGGAAGACCCACCTTTATTCTGGGCTACACTTTCCCTGATTAAAGTGGTGGTAGATTCAAAGGACATAGAACAAGGGATCTTTATGTTCTTTTTGCCTGATTGCCTCTCAATGGGTTGTCCACTTCCTAACTGCCATTAGAGACTACTTCTTTGGGATTCCACCATTTATTGGATGGTTGTTTTAGATCCTTTTCCTGTTGCTGTAACAAGAATAATACCTGACAGAAGCCACTCAAGCAGGAGTGAGTAGCTGGAACTCTTCACACCTCCACAGACCAGAAAGCAGAAATCATACATTCAGAAAACCTCAGTGACTGCTCCAAGTCACCCACTTCCTATAGTGATGCTTTTGTCCCTAAAGATGGGTTCCACCCTCCTCCCCAACAGTGCCACCAGCAGTAGACCCAGTAGTGGTAGTGTAAGCATTTAAACTCATGAACATGAATGAAAGTGGGGGACACTTTTCATTCAACCACAATGATCTTGCCTATATTCAGGGCAGGTCTCACTCCTTTGGGTCATTGTTTCTAGAAACCTCTCAGGTGTGTGCTTTACTTTTCTCCTAGGAATCTCTCAGTCCAAGTTGACAGGCAAGATTTTCCCTGTTTTCCTCAGACTCCTACTTCCTACTTGTTGAGAAGTCTGCATAATAGTGTAATCACATGCCTATTAGGTTCTGTTTTTCTTCTTTTCTTCCTGCTCCTTAACACCAATAATGCTCATTGCTAGTTTCAAGATCCAGGAAAATACCTTAAAGGTGCCAGGGGTGGGAGGGTGGGGGCTTGGGGGTGAGTCTCACCCTCATCTCATCCTCCCTCATTGCCTGGGACAAAAGCTTGATGACCGACAAGTAGTTGTCTTGCAAGGATGGCAAGAACTTGGGCATTTGATGACTGTGGAGTTAGTATCCTCACCCTAGAACACTTTCTTCCTTTTCTCAGCAGTGAAGATTAAACTTTTAGAATGTGAAGTAGCACATTTCCTTATGTCATTTCATATATACTTACTTGGTTATAATTGGCCCTTCTCACTCTCCCCATCCCCACTTCAACCCTCACCTCCTCAGTATCCTCATATCATAAATGTTTGCAGTTTTAAATATTGACCTTTATAGGTAAATACAAACACCATAAAGGCAGAATCTTTGAGCTCACCAATCCGGCTGCTTTTGGAATCTTACCGGAGCATTTTAAAAACATGCTCTGACTGCCTGAGCTCAGGATTTCCGCACAGTCACTGATATTTGTAAAAGTTGCCCCTGATGAACTGTGCAGCAAATTCTGAGAACTACTGAACAGCTCGTTTTATGTCAAGCTCCAGCCAGATTCAAAACGCAGCCTTTCCATACTGGAAGCGAGCCAATCCTGTCCTAGGCCCCGCCTCAAGCCCCGCCCCCAGGCCCCGCCCAGACGTCGCTGAGTAGAGCGGAAACTCGTTTGCTAATTGAGTCTGCGCAGTTGAGAAGCGCGTTTATGCGCTTGCGCGGCGCCAACTCCCGCAGACAATTTGAATTTTAGTGCGTGCAGTACTTTTCACGGTTTGGCGTCTTGGCGGTAGCCTTTTGCGATCACTCTTCCAGCCGCAGCGGAGAGTCTTCGCTCCCAGAACCGGCGAGGTCCCCGACCCGGAAGCTGCCCGAAGCATCGTTTAGCAGGTGAGCGCACCGGGCGGCGCGGAGGATCGGCTCCCGTCTTCTCCCACTTAGGTTTCCAGCCAGGCGCAGCGTCCTGGATCTGGCTTGAACTTGACGCTGTCGTGCCGCAATGTCAAAAGATTGGACACGCTTGCTCAGATCGGCATCTTTTCACTCACCCTTACGAGGACTTTTCGCTATGGATTTTTCGCTTCATCTCACGCCCAGAATGTGAGGCCGCGACTCCACATTCAGCCCGGAGGAAGATGGTAGCTCTGGTTTATTTATGGTGTCTGGATATCCAGCAGGAGCCTCCAAGACATGTTACAAAAAAAAAAAAAAAAAAAAAAAAAAAATGCCCTCGAATTGTGTTCTTTCTTTTCAAAAAACAATGTTGTTGTTTACTATTTGTAGGTTTTGAAAGTGAATAGAAATTTAACTTTTCGTAACGTTTTTTTAAGAAAGCGTTTCTATGTGTTTTATTCAGACGCTTGAAGGATGGCCTCAGATCTAGAACAGTTATGCTCTTACGTTAATGAGAAGATTGACAATATTAAGAAAATTCTCACGATAAGAAATCTTGGTAAGCGACATTGACCCACTGCTTTGGGGTACACACCTTACTTCTTTGATTATTCTGTTGTGAATGTCTCTTGGTAAGGTAATTTTAGATTTCCAGTAGTGAATTTTTGTTTCAAATAATGCAGAGTCGATATTAAATAATGGATGAATATTTAACTTTACTTACTTTTTCTTAGACATTAGTCCAACTTATAGTAAGGTTTGAAGGGGATGTATTATCCATGGTTCTAGAGCTAACTGGAAATAAAAATAAAAATAAAACGAACCAACCAAATTAAAAATTTCTAATGAAAAGATCTATTAAGGGTGAAGTAGCCCATTACCAGTTATCATCATGTTTAGAGGAAGCTTATCCCTGTGTATCAGGGTAAAACAGATAGTTGAAAATAAAATTGTTAAGGCGTAAAAGTCAAACAGATAATCCTTGTCAAGTCTAAAATGTTTTCAAAATCAAGTTTCCTGGCTTTGTCCAGTAGAGTTCAAAGCCTTCTTAGTAGACAGAGTTGTCTTCTTGAAAGATTGTGGAGATTTTGCTGTAGTTTGTGATGTGGTTTTAATTTTCTTTGACATGAAATTCTGTTGGATATCTCTCCTAGAAATTTGGTATTGTTCAGTCCTTACTTGAAACTCCTATTAAAAGAACTGGTTTATTTTGTGGCTCATGGTTCACACTCTATAGAAAGTTATCTGTGAACTCAACATGCCAAGCCTCTCATTTTATTCTCAGGGGAAATCACAACTCCAAAGAGGCTTGCCCAAATCATCCTGAGTTTCTGAACACTCAGGTAGGATGATGGCTCTCAGTCTTAATTCCTGCATAGCAAGCCCTCTCATTTTACACTCAGGGAGACCAAGACTCCAGCTCCTGAACACTCAGGTGGTTCTCGGTCTCAATTCCCACTTCGTATCTCTCCACTCATATGCCACTTTTATTGGGGGAAAAAAAAAAAAAAAAAGTCTGGTCAGGCATAGCACATACCTGTGATCCTAACACTCAGGAGGCACTGGCAGGCACAGGTGAATCTGTGAGTTCAAGATCAGCTTGGCTTACTTATTGAGCTCCAGGGCAGCCAGGACTAAGTAGAAAAACACTGTTTAAAACAAAACTAAAAGGAAATTGGAACTGACAGCTCTGTCTTAGAAAATATTTGGGTTGGAAAGGACAAGTTCCTGTTTTGTTGTTATATGCAGTTTCTATGCAGTAGCCCGGGGCTGCCCTCAAGCTTAAATCCTCCTGCCTCAGCTTTGTCAGTGCAGGGCTTACATGTATGGGCCACCAGGCCTGACGTAACTTTCATTTTAAAGTAGCAAGGAAGAGAAGGAGGATAAAAGCAAGTAAGTATAAAGTGTTTCCTGCTGCTTTTATTTTTGGCAAGTCCTTTCACTATAACAAAACACCTAGAAATAATAAGCACCTGCATACAAGCATTCATGAGGGAGAGGTTAGTCTTCCTGGGCTGACATGAAATGGGACTCACAGACACCAAGTAGGACTTGTGGGCATTGGTGACAACATCCCCATCAGTATGAAAGAATGCTAGAGAGGAGGTTCTGGTCTCAGTGACCACCTACCCTTGACTTTACTGAAGACAAGAGCCAATAACTTTGAGGCCTCAAACCACAGGGTGACAGAAATGAAAAAATCTCAAGAGAGGCTGTTACCCTGCTTCGGAGGACACATTATTAAAGATTGACCTGAAAAACTTGAAGCTCCAGGGCAATGAACTCATGCTTAGACTACTCAAGTGTTGCTTGTATAGAGCTCCAAGACTAAAGGCAGGGTAAGCTTGGAGTTCATATTTGCACCATCTCTACTCCTCAAAACCTTCAATCAGAGATAGAAACCAAAACATCTAAGTCCAACATAAAAATACAGAGCAGGTACCTGTTTTGGTTTTTATATACTTTGTTTTCCATTTCCTCTTTATAACAGGCCAAGCACCTTCCCTTGAAGACCACCTTAAGTAAAATAGAAGATGAGATCATTACAGTAAATGAATTTCTAAATAATCTTGAGTTGGAAATTCAGTATCAAGAACAAACCAACAAGTCACTTAAGGTAATGCTTCCCTAACTGGAAAACTGAAGGCAGTAAATACAGACTCCCTAATCACCAGATCATTTTTAAGGATCCTTTGTTTGCAGTATTCTCACCTTTGTAAATTAGTCTAAAGAGTAACTTTTGTGTTCCGAATGCCAACTTTTTCTGTGTGCTAACGGCCAATAGCATAGAACTTTTACTAGAAGGGAAGTTTCTAAAGAATTTTTTATAGGTAGGTTTAGTGTAAACAAATGATGCCCTGGGAGAATGCTGAGTGGAGAAGACCTGCTCAGGCGAGGTGTAGGTTTTTACCTTGGGTGCCCTGGGTGCTCTCTTCCAGGCTGAGAAAGCCATTTTACCTCTTGAGGTCTCTTATCCTCTTTTAAAGGGTAACAGAAAACTGAAAAGACTATTTCTTAGCTGCTTTCTGTCTGTTTATTTCTATCAAAGAAGAGAACAATTCATTTGAGAAAAGCTGAACTTTTTGTTCTAAATGAGGCTCCTAATTAACTTCAGCCAATAGGAGTTTGTGTACTTTCTAACAAGGTAAACAATCGACACCCAAGCTATGTCTTGTTGGCGCCATTGTAGTGTTCAATGAGGTTGAAAAGGGTAGCCTCCAAGGTCCTTCAGCCTGTAGTCTTCACAGTCTGAGAAGACTTTTCAGCTCTAGACATACTTATCCCCAGCCGAAAATAAAGAGTGGCCATGAGCATAATTTAGTTTTTGAAATGAAAGATGTCATAGGTTCAAAATGGAAAACAGTATTGCTCTATCAGTTTCCATCTGTGCAAGAATATGCAGGGTTACATGAGAGTGTTCACTTGAGACATGAAGTCTATTCACATTATGGTTGACCAGGTATCAAGAACCCAAAAATATAGACTATTTTTTTCCTGAATTAAAATTTACATGAGTTCATTACCCCCATGTTCTAGTAGAAGTTAAATAAAACACACATTGTACAGAGACACACACTATATATAATTTCCCCACACTGTACACACACACACACACACACACACACACACACACGAGAGAGAGAGAGACGAGAGAGACATACTCACACCAAACAAACATCTCTTGTCTGGGTTGACCTCAGTCATTCTGGTGCTGTTTCACAGGCAGCACTGGGAAACATGAGCTAACTCAATAAGAGCAGTTTGCCAGACTGAAAAGCATTGATATCTCATCTGTTTCTTAGTTGCTTCCCAAGGTTAAAGTATTTGGGAAAGACTTAAACTTCAACCCAATCTCACACTTGTACTATGATTGATTATAGTACTTGTTCTCTGAAAAAAGAAAAAAAAAAATCCCAATAGAAAAATATCATCTTCTAGAAACTCTGGAAATTACAGGGCAGGTCTCCCCTCTCATGCCCAACTCCCACCCCCTTATTTTCTTGTGTTGGAGATCAAGCCCAGGGCCTTATACTTGGTTGGCAGTGCAGTGAGTTACACCCCAGCCCTTAAGTCCTTCATTATTATTTTGTTCATTTGTATTGCTGCATTTGGTGCTTTCCCACTGCATTCTGTGTTCTCAGCACTTACACGGACTGTGAGTGTGGCTTGCAGTCTGACCTGCCTGCGTACACATATCACATGTGTAGAGGAGGAAGCCATGCTCACAAGCATTTCTGAAACTTAGGAGCTCTGTGTATCTCTTGAAGAGGATTTGAAAGATGTAGAGCATCTCAAAGAACACATTCCGTCCCATTTGCCGCAAGTGACAGTCACCCAGAGCTTGTAAGTACATTCCTGATTCTTGCTGTCTGGAGTTGTTTGTGGAAACAAACACCTCAGTTGTCTTCTGTCATGTACTTGAATTTTTTGTCAGGGTTTGATCAGTGTCTTAAACCACACTTAATCTGTCTCCTCCAGTTTCCTCACTCTACACCTCTGAGGAAAATGGTCCCTCTCCCCAAGCAAGGCTCCCCTGCAACCCTCCACACCCCACATACCCCCTTCATCTTAGACTTTCAGGTTTTGACCAGAACATGCTTTGCTTTGAGAATAGAGTATTTAGTAGCATCACTGTCTCCTTCCACTATATACCAGTCTCATGTCTCCTCCGAACATCAAGATTTTGACCTCTGTGTGTATCTCCATTACCCCTTGGGAGCCAGGGAAACCACTCTGCCTTTAGGGTAAGCTAAGCACAGTGAACCATCAGCTTTACACTTGCCATTCTCCCAGAGGCCCTCATGCCTGGCTTTTAGCTATCTCTGCCACTACTCTTGTACAAACGATGACTTGAAGGTTTTAGAGTTTGTCCTCTGTTCCATGTCTGTGTTCCTCGATTGCACACTTTGTTTCTAGGTGTTAGTCCATGCTGCCCCAAGCTTCCTGGCTGTAGTCCTGCGTTCCTCAGATGTGGCTGCCTCCTTTTCCTCCTCCCCTTCCATGAAAGATAAACCTCCCTGACTCTGGTAGTCAGTGCTCCGAAATGTCCAGTTCTTGTCTTAACTTAATTCAAGTGTTCTTGTGGCCTGCTGGAAATCTGATGAAGAGCTGTTTTCTCTCAAACCTTGCAGGTCCAAGGCTGAATTCAGAAACTCTCTTATTGCCTGTATATGTATCCAATCCAACCGCCTTTTTTGTTTGTTTGTTTTGTTTTTTGTTTTTGCTTTTTTAATTGCCTAGACAGGGCTTCTTGATCTCTCTTAGCTACCAGCTGTCCAGTATGTCTCTCAGGTGGTCTTTTCTACTTCCTTGTTCCCATTGCCTGGCTCTGAATGAGATCTTTTTTTTTTTTTTTTAAGAGTCTCTATGTTGTGCCTGCCCTCAGCTCTCCAATCCTGACACCAAAATTGTGTTTCTAAAAGGTGTTTTCAATAGGTACAAATATTCTATGGTCAACTTAATTTTTTAAGTGTATCGTGTAGAAAAGTGATTATAGTAGTATATGTAAAACTTGAAGAATAGTCAGTATCCTTGTATGTATGAGTCAAATTTAGAACAGTATAATACCAGTACCATAAAACACTTGTGATGCAGACCCTTCCTGTAGCGATAAAGGCCATTCTGGCCTTGAGAATGCTTAGGATTTCTCTACAGAATAGACTGCCAAGGAAAGTCACAAGTGAATATTAGGGAAAATAGGTCTCCTGGTTATTAGTCAGGAATATAGAGTGAGATGGACATTGGATATCCAGAGGAATGTGGCTAGCAGAACAGCACTTCTGTAGGCCAGCCTTTGCTGTCCAGGTCAGGTCAAAGCAGTTTGAAATAGGTTAAAGATGTTTTGGGTGGATACAGTGAGCTGGGCATTCGGGAGTCATCAGGTTGAAGATGTTTATGGTGGATACAGTGAGCTGGACATTCAGGAGTCATCAGCACATTCTTATCACATGATCAGGAATAGAACATGAGAAAAGAATCAGGTACATGGAAGAGTTGGCCAGTTTAGTGATGGAGGTCACATTAGCATTCACAGTATGGCACCATCACTGTTTGTTTATTTGTAATTTCTACCATAATTATACTACACAGCCAAGATAGTGTTTCAGATTTTATTGACAGCCCACAGCCACAATTGCTGTGTTCTGGGTCTGGTCCCTTGCTGCTCTCTTTCTGGGGGAATTCCTTCACTTGTTTCTGTGTTGAACCTACAGATTTCTGATCTGTTGTCTTTCTTGGAACATTTCAGCCACTGTGGGAACAGATGTCTCTTCTGCCTTGGCAGTTAGTCTAAAAGACACAACCTGTTTCTAGACTCCATTTGCCAGAAGAGTCTGCAATAGGTAGTGGCTAATAGTAACAACTAACAGAATACACCAGGATAGATGAAAGATGGCTGTTGTTTCTAGTTTCAGAACTAGGGAATTGAAGAAGGGAAGCTATTGGAGTTTAGTTCAGCTTTACATATGTTAACTTTGAGAAGCAAATGGGAATAAATACTGGTGAAGGTGTGTAATGTATATTTTGTGAATGACATGTTTTGGGTGTATAAGTGAATATAGACATACTCTGAAGATTTAAGAATTTAATTTTCTCAGTTCCTTTCACAATTTTGATATTCATTACCAATGGGTAGGGCTACTAAAAAAAAAAGTTGGCTATAAAATTATTAAACCAGGTTGAAGAAAAAAAAAAGTATGGTGTGATATTTAATTCTATCAATTACCTGTGTGTGTATGTGTGTTTATCTCTACTCTGTAGGATTGACAAATCCGATCTGGATCCTAAAGAGCCAGTCAAATCTAAGGAACCTGTCCTGGCAAAGAAGCCTCCCAGAGAGCAGAGAATTATAAAGGAAATGCAGTTTATAACCACTGATGAATTCAATGGTGTTCCTTCGTAAGTACTGAGTATAAATTCTAATGTGCAACACTACTAATCAACATGCATGATTGTTTAAGTCATGCAAAATTGTAATGTGGTGTTGAAGCAAAAAGGCCAGGAAGTATTTGTGACAGGGTTTGACTATAGTTCTGGCTGGTCTAGAACTCATTATACAGATCAGGCTGACTTTGAACTCATGGAGATCCACCTATCTCTCCTAAGCACTGGGATTAAAGGCATGTGCTACTATACCCTGGTACTGTGTCACTTTGTGGTTTGGTGCCTGCCACTTTTCTTACATCAAATCCAGCGTTTTAGATACATTCACTATTTGCAGGAATACTATCATCAAGGGAAGGGAGAAATGTGGTTTCATTATTATCTCAAAGGGAAAAGTTTGTATGATGACTTTTAAAGAATAACTACATACATTGGAACATGAAGCCCTCAGTGGAAGGGCCTCCATTAAATTCCTCTCCTCGGGGCTCAGGGAACCCTACAGAAGAGGAGGCAGAAAGATTGTAAGAGCCAGAGGAGGTGGAGGACAGCAAGGAATGAAGGCCTCTAAGTCAGCATGACCAAAGCACATTTGGACTCAGACTGAGGCAGCATGCATGGGGCCTGCAGGGGTCTGCCTCGGGTCCTCTGTGTATATATTATCCAGTGTTTTTAGGGGATTCCTGAGTGTGTGAATGAGTGGGTCTCTGATTCTTCTGCCTTTTCTTGGGCTCTTTTTTCTTCTGTTTGTCTAATTCCAATGTGTTGTTTTGTTTTACCTTATTGTTTAAAAAATAGTAGAGGTGAATATTTGTATAATTAAGGAAATATAAAAAAATATAAAAAGTAAAAAAGAATAACTAAATGCTTTTTTTAAAAAACAGGTACATGAAATCCCGTTTAACATATTGTCAAATTAATGATGTTATTAAGGAAATTAATAAGGCAGTGGTTAGTAAATACAAGATTATATATCAACCAAAAGCATCTTTGAGTTCTGTGAAGAGAAATCACTACCAAAGGTTTATTAATGAAGAAACAAAGGACACGAAAGGTAAAGTGATGGAATCTAAGTGAGTGCATGTCAACTGTTTGGAGGAGGGCAAACCCCAAATTCTAGAAAACAATGTTTCTGGAGAGCTAATGATATCCAGTCCAGCTAACACTTCACTGCGTGCTGGACAGCACTTAGCTTTGTTTTTAGTCCGCAGAGTGCCTGTGTCCCATTTTGCAGACTAGACAGAGTTCTCAGCTCATCTAAGTTCTAGTTAGGTGATAGAGTTGCAGTGGTTCCTTTCTGTTTACTGTTTCCTCAGAATGCCTCTAGAGAAGTGTGCAGTTAAGACATACCAACACTGCTCATTGATAGCAGGGCTACCCTGGAGAAATGTGGCGGTGATGCTGTATAGCCTCACTTGATGAGACATTATTTTAGCAGGAAGACCATTTCCCACTGTGTTTTGTATTTGGATAGGGTTAGTAGAAGGACTCAGGTATGATGCTGTTAAAAACTGTGAGAACTGGATTCAAGGAAGTTAGAACCTGGTGTTTCTCTTTTCAGGTCATTATTTCATTGTGGAAGCTGACTTAAAGGACTTTACGAACTTGAAAATTGACAAGAGGTTATATGTGATCTTGAACATCTTGCGGCATTGCCAAAGGCTGTCAGAGGTTCGAGGGGAGGACTTACCCGATATGTCCTAATCTGAGACTTTTGCAGGCTTGGGACTGTCTGGCAATAGGGTATAGAGCATAGTCTTGAAATTTCATACGTAATGTTATTAGCTACTGCATTTCCTGGTCTTGTTTTTTTAACACTTATGTATTTTCAAAACATACTGTCTTTAGGAATGTGGATAAGGCTGGGACTCACAGTAAACACAAAAGCCAAAGTCAGAATGATAAATCTGATCTCATGTGGAACCCAAACTGAAATTATATAGTGCATGAGTGCAGATCATGAGACCAGAAAGTAAGGGGAAGGGAGAAACGGATGATAATGGCATGATGTGAGGACTATCTGGGAACTAGCCAATGGGCTTGGGGTAGAAGCACAGGGAAGGGCACGGCATGGGTTAGAATAAAGTATAATGACACATGATGTATGAAAATGTAATAATAGGACTCATTTCTTTGTTATCTCAAAAGTTAATTTTAAAATTTGATACTTTTTAGCAGATACTCAACACTACCAAATCTAGCCTGTGTATGAGGTGTGCAGTGAAAAGCACAACTAGTTCTGTTAAGTGGACAATACTGCAGATACTATGGGCATAGACTTGATGTAGGGGAAAATGAGGATACCCAAGCCCTCTGGGTTGTAAAGTCTGATTACTGATTTTCCCTGTGCCTTTAGGGAACAGCTTGCCTAAATTCAGTATAAGCCAGCCTGACTGCTTCAACCTGTAATGAAGTATATTGAGGGATTGTGATATTGTCATACAATAAATATATTACATGTTCACTTTCAGTTCTTTGTTTAGAGTTTCTAAAATCCTCATGGTGTTCTTAATGATAGGTGGGGTGCATCTTGTGTTGAGCCCAGTTCCTGACTGTCGTTCTCACTTGCCTTTGAATTTCCTCATCAGTGCATGTGTTCTGATTACAGCGGGTTGATTCTTGGATGGCTTTGAGGTGGGAGGGAGCTGGTTACTGGAAAGTCAAAGCCATGACTAGAAAGCTGCAATTTCGAGCCAATCTCCATTCCCAGGGAGGGGATTGGGGCTGGAGATTAATTATTGATCACACCAATGGGCTACATCTGTATTATATCCTTTACCTGTAAAATTTGGAGAGCTTCTTGGTTGGAAAATATATTGATATGCCAGGAAAGTGATGCACCCCAACTCTATGTGGACAGAAGTTCCTGCGCTTAAGACCTTTTGAGGCAACCTCTTCATCCAACTGTTTATCTGTTTGCTCTTTAAAAGCCAAGTCCAGTGCTTTCCTGTATTTTTAAGTTGTCCTAGCAAAATTACAAAACCCCTAACAATGGAGCTTATATTAGTCAGAATTCTCTAAAAAGAATGGATCCAGTGGGATGGAAAATACATATATGAATTTATTAAGTCAGTTTTAGAATAGTAAGAACAACAAAATCACATTGGAGAAGCTGTGAATCGAGTAGTTATTTAGTTCTTGAGACTAGATGCCACAATAATTCAGGTGGTCCTACAATAATGGAGGGGCAAAAATGGGTAGTTACTTAGTTCACAAGGTAGGGGCCTCAGCAGTCCTATCTGCTGGGAACTACTGGTCCATGATGATAGCTTGGAAATGCTGGTGATGAATCGGCAGCAGTAACAAGGCAAATCAGCTTGGTGACGAGAGGGAAAGCCAGTTGAACAGGAGGCAAGATGGTCTTCCTGCTGAATCCCCTTTATATCTGGGCTGCCACCAAAAGGTGCAGCATACAGTCAGGGTGGGCCTTCCCACATCATCAAGGTGATCTGGACTTGTCTAAAGGTGATTCTGATCTGTTGCAAGTTACTATTAAAGCAAGTGTGGATAGTCTGGGGAACCTATGTTGTGATGCAATCTGAAGTGGGGGTATTCTTGTGAGAGTTTGCCCTTAACCAGGGGGCTACACTAACTCTAGGTGGTGTTAGCATTGGATTGTGGGATGCCTAGCTGCTATCCAGATTCTTGGAGAGTTGATACCCAAGGGATGGGGAGGGGAAGCCCTGCATATTTGGGATCAGTATGTATAATAGAAGAAACAGCTTTTCCTAGTGAGATGAAAATGATAACCTGTGAACAAGTTGAAAAGGGTCATGAGAAAATGGTAATTGGATTCTAAGAACTTTGCCTAGTTCCTCTTCTGCACCTGGGGAGGCTGTCTGCTCTATAAATAGCTGTGCCATCTGCTTGCCAGGCTCATCCCTGCAGTAGGGAAAAAAATATGTCATTACTGTGATGGCCACAGAGTGAATTACAGGCCTTGCATATTCATTATTAGCCACCTTCTTCAATTCAAATGCACCCCCCCCCCATTTTTGTGATTCTAGAGGTCAAACTCAAGGCCTTACACATAAAAAGTAAGCACTCTGCCAACTGCAAGAAACCCTTGGGCCATTTGATAAAATATGAAGAGTGATGGGGGAATGTCCTTCTGTATATGTTTCTCTTATTGGTTGAAGAATAAAACACTGTCTAGGCAATGAGGCAGGAGGATAGGCGGGATGAAGAGATTAGAATTCTGGGAACGGTAGGCAGAGGAAGTCCACGAAACAGTTGCCATGTAAGGACTGGGAAGAAAGGATGCACTAGATGTTCTCTAATAAGATAAGGCCACGTGGAAATACATAGATTACTAGAAATGGCTTAATAATTGAGACAGAGCTAGCCAATAAGAAGCCCAAGCCATCAGCCAACAGTTTTATAGCTAACATAGCATCTCTGTGTGTTTATTTGGGACTGAGAAGGGAAGCAGGGCCTGGAGGGACAAGAAAAGCTCTAGCAACAAGAAGAGAATAATGAAGGGATTAATTTTAGAACCACTAATCTGTTACTTGACTTGGGGTATTTTGATTGTACTCTTAACACTTGAATCAGGGTGGAGCCAGTGACTGACTGACTGGAATTGCCCATAGAGAAGCCAGCAATTTGTATAGAGAAGACACACAGGAAGAAAAGGACAGACACTTGAGTTTGCCGCTTCTTTTTGGTTCTGGAACAAAGGGAGAAACTTGTCTCCTGCAGCGTCTCCCACCAAAAAGCAAGGTCAGCTAGTTGCTTTCAACCTTTCTGAGCTAGTGGGTTTTTACCCCAGCCTTTGACTCCCAAGTCTTAATTGGTAAGTAGAATGATAGATACTTAATTTAAACCTACATATTCTGGTTGCACCAGAGCTGGGTCCCCAGGCTACACATATGATGTATATCAGATTGGTGTGCAGCTGCTAAGACAACAGAAAAACATCATTTGACCTTTATTTTCAAGCAAAACAAAACTACTTACTCTTTTTTTTTTTTTTTTTTTTTTTTTTTTAATGGCATCTTTAATTTTTAAGAGAAATCTTCATCCTGGCTCTGCCCTCAGGTCCATCTCTCGCCCTTGTTGCTATCTGTCTGCTCATGGCATTCTGTAAACTTTTCTTGAAGATACTTGTACAGTCTCTTCATGCTATAGGAGCACCAACAACAAACCATTCTATCCAAGTCTAGCTTGGTGAACCAGTGGGTTTATTGGGCTTTATTTTGGGAGTATGGGTGACTGCAGAAGAGCTACATCACTCATGAGGTCCAGGGTAGCATGGGAGCCAGCCTTCTCGATGCAGTGCCTCCTTCAGTGACCCTCCATCTCTTGTGTACCGAGAACATACCATGTATAACTGGGGCTAGGGCCAGGCAGGGTAAGTGCTGTTATCTTAGGTGAGGGTCTGGTAACTGGCCTGATCTTGTGAGGAACTTAGGCAGTAATCACAGTTTTCTGATTAAGATGACAACAGCTGCATCACAGCTGGAGAGCCGAGTTCTACAGCACATAGGAATAAATCCCTATGTGCTTGTTCTGGCAATGCCCTGGAAAGCATAGGACTTGGTTTACCCACCTTACCCTCCCCCACCCACTGTCCAGATGGGTGGTGGCCATCCAGAACTTCCAGGTTATGAGATAGGAATATTTATGTGATGTTAATCTGAAAGGCAATTGGGGAAGTACACAAACTTTGGGTAGAGGGGCTGACAGGATGGCTCAGTGGGTAAAGTGCTTGCTGCCAAGCCTGAACTCTGACCTCTATCAGGAGTATTCACAAAGTTGAAGGAAAGAACTAACTGGCTCTCACAAGTTCTTTGGCTCCACACCCATGCTCAGCTACACTTGTGCACATACACAAGTATTTTTAAGCATTCTCTTAAATTGATGTGAGCCAACATGAGGATGACTTTCTGGGGAGACATGTATTCTATTTACCAAAAACAAATATTGTGAGATGACATCCAGAGGGCCTGTTCTTGTTTAAAAAAAAAAAAAGAACAAAACAAAAAACAGGGTTGCAGTAAAGTGGTTATCACAACCTCACTAGTGCACATGATGACACAGGCCATTGATTGGTCACTACTCTTTGATAATCAGGTAAGGGCTTTTCCCAAGGTTGTCTTCATGGAGTCAGAATCAGCATACTGCTATACTACAGCTGCTGTCATGCCTGAACTGCCTAGTTGTGTTTGTCAGCTTGACACAAGCTAGGGTCATCAGAGGAGAAGCCTCAGCTGAGGAAATGCCTCCATGAGATCCAGCTGTAAGGTACTTTCAATTAGTGATCAGTGGGGGAGGGCCCAGCCTATGATGGATGGTGCCATCCCTGGGCTGATGGTCCTGGGTTCTATAAGAAGGTGGGCTGAGCAAGCCATTGGAAGCAAGCCAGTAAGCCACTCCCCCTCCATGGCCTTGTCAGCTCCTGCCTCTGAGAGCTGTCCTTGTTTGAGTTCCTGTCCTGACTTCCTTCATTGATGAATAGAACTACTGAAGTGTAAGCCACCATAAACCCTTTCCTCTCCAACTTGCTTTCTGGTCATGGTATCTGTGACTGGGCTCATCAGGGCTCAGTAGAGCAAGCAGCCCAGATTCTGAAACAGATGAGATGAAAGGAGTCTGAGGGGACACCCATCTACTCAGGGATTGTAAAGGGAGACCTTACATTGCTCTTGGAGAAGTACCGTGTTCTCTCCTGAGGGAGTGTCAGACTTACCTTCATCCCATCTCTGCAGTGCCAGTCTCCAGACCTCTCTCAGCTGAGCCTGCAGAGGTTTGACTCATTTCCAAATTTAATGGAAGTAGCCAGTCACATTCTTATGGGCTTTGCCTTTGGAATAGGTGGGAGTGTTTGGCCACCGGGTGTACCTTTCCCAGTGAGAGAGCAAAAGGAATCTGCGATAAACTGTGTCTACTTAGGAGTCTATGTTCTAATCTCCCTGGGAACACCTTCTGTGGCAGAGGGCCTGCTATCTCTCTTTGTTTTGTGGAGCCCCAGGCAGCTCAGGTGTTTGTCACTTTGCATTTTCTTCTCATCTTCCCTGCTTATTTCTCTTTGCTTTCCCAGAGAAAGTGTCTGCCTTACTTCTGCATACCATGCACCAAGATAAGGCCCTAGGCCCTGGCTCTGTATTTCTCATGTGCATTAGTGACACTCAAGTAGGTTTTTACTTAATTCCTTTAACTTTCTCCCTCCTACAGAATAAAAATGTGGTTTTGTGCTTTTTGTTTACACCTTCTTTAACAGTGCTTCACAGTAGAGGGCGCTGGATAATATTTGTTGGGTGTACAAAAACTAAACCAGTTGATAGACATTGAGGCAGATGATGTCACCTTTTGTGTCTCTGTTTCCTCCTCTATATGTTGAAATTGTTGGATAAAATTTCTTAAGGACCCTCTGCTTTTAATATTCTGTGTTCTAATATCCCTAGTTTCTTTTACTTGATGCATTTATTGTAAAATTAAAGAATATTCCAATTAGATCATGAAAAATAT